CGAAACTGCACTGCAAAGCTTCTATGTCGACAGCCCAGTCCTGCTCCTTCATGGCATCACCCATACCACCCATCATGCTTGCCATCGTGCCGAGGAGACGAGCTTCAGAAGGGAACTGCACGTGATCTGAGGTTGCAAAGCGCTGCGGGGATATACAGCACTCTGCACAAACCCTGAAGCAAAAGAGTGCTCATTGCCCGGGATTGCACGAGCAGCATATACTTTCAAACATGGATAACGTTCCTCCAGGATAGTGCTTTTTTGTGCATCCTGGTTCTGCTTCGGATTTGGGGACAGCACTTAGGAGTAACTTTGGCAAGCCCTGTACAGTTGGTGTCTGCTCTTTGTCAGGCTTCTGATGGAGACTGCGGCCAGCAAAACGGCCAACCTCCTTTTCCTGCTGAAAATTGCGGCCGTGGGCCTGTGAGTGCGAAGCCGCATCTGTAGCAATCAAAGGAGCAGGTTAGCAGGTCTGTACTTCCATCGGGTTTTGTAGGCTCAGGCTCGCTCGCCAACACCTCAAACATACTCAAACGATGATGGAGAGGTCGCTTTGACTGCCTCCCACAGAGGCAAAGGCGGCTTAATTTTGGGGCACAAGCGGATTAGCTTCCAGCGGCCGTCCTGGTTTTAGGCTGTCCGTCATCATCCAGTCCAACACCCGAGCAGGTGACAGAAGCTTGCCTTAAGCGCACTCTCTCAAGCAAGGGAAGCGATGTGAACGCATCTGTTGCCATGCCAATGGGCAGTAGTGGATGCCAGGATATATCCTGCAAGCATCGGATGTCATGACATGTCTAGCTACAGCTATTCCCTTGGCACGGGTACGGCGTGAATCAACACCATCCGCCATCCGACACACTTGAGAGCTTTCCAACCCCCGCAGGGCAATACTATAGCTGTCCTTGCATTGACATCGGTCAGCATGGACGGTGATTGCACTGCCATACATGTGCTGTTCTCCTTGAGGGCGAGCCTTGGTTTACGCAGTTTCGGACTGCTTCATCAAAGCTTTCCATGACAAAAGCGTGGAGTTTCGCAACAAGGCTTCCTCATCTCCAAACTGGCAGCCGATCCTTGAAGACCCAGACAGGTCCGGCCACAGATGGCGAGTCATCCAGGAAGCACCAGCCACGGCCCTTCTCGCGATATCGCCGCAGCGTGCTCTCAGCTGCGAGCCTATGTGTTGCAAGGTGGCACAGGAGATGCCATTTAGCTGTCACGGCAGTCGCTCTTCTTGCTTCGTTCTGCTAGGGTCCCAATGCATATGATTATAACTTATATGCTACATTACATGGCAACCACGGTGATGAGGATGATGGTGGCAACAACGACTATGATGATGACGACGATGATCAATGCTTGTGGTGATGCTGAAGAGGAGGATGACGACGAGGATGATGCGAATGATGAAGAGGTGGCAGCGGTGATGATGATGATGATGATGGTGGTGGCGATGATGATGGTGATGGTGATGGTG